GGAGAACGACCAACCGTGTCAGGCTCTTGCCCGCCAAGGGCTCACAGTCTAGCTGCAGGGATGTGATACCCACATGGGAAAGAGGTCTGAGAACCCAGGAGTGGCACAGAGAGGGAGGGGTTCAGGAGCAGAGGTCCTGCAGTCAGACCTGCAGCTGCAGAGAGGGCCTTGGAGTGAGCCTGGAAAGAAGGGCTGATCTTGCAGACTGGGGGGCTGCTACAGGGCAGAGAGGTGCAGTACTGAGACCCCTCCACACCCTCATGCTGACCACTGCCACTCTGCACACTGCCTGGAACCCATTGCCAAGGAGCCAAGAGCACAGCTTGTTCTACAAGATTTCCAGGAGGAGGCAGATGCCTGAGTGCATTCGAAATGGAGAGGTTGCATTTGAAAAAGAAGGAAGCTAGGGTTCACAGATGCCAACAGTCACCCACCCCTGCCTGCCAGCGCCTTCCTCAGAGCCACTGGGAACCTTTCCCAGGGCCATTTCCCCAGGTCCTCCTGCTGCCCCAGGAACAGCAGGAAGGCTATGCCCGCAAGGCCGTTGTCAGGCAGCATGTCACCAGGGCAGCCTCGAGCCACACCCAGCACACTAGCACAGGAGGGTGGGCTTGGGCCAGGGCAGACCAGCCTGCTGCCTCACAGCAGGCCTAACAGGTGGATGGGACAGCCAGTCACCTGAATCTTTCTGTCCCCAACAGGACTGTGTCCACTCACCAGGCTGCCCGCAATCCCAGGACCAGGACGGCGGCAGGGCATGAGGACACGTGTCGTGCGGGTGCCCTTGGCACTGACACAACACAGCACTCACACTAGCAAGAGCTGGCACTTTTTATTAACTGTAGGTGACTAATAAATACATTACGGCAGCCAATAAATTATTACAATAGCTAGAGATTTATTAAACCAACAAGTCACTCTTCTTACAAAATTACAGTTAATATGAGGTGGGTGGTAGCGGCGGGGTTGGGAGGTGGGACCACTGCACCTAAGGGAGAAGGCTCTGCTCAGGAGGGAGTGGGTACCCAAGGCCACCCCAGCCTAGGATGGGGGAGGGGAGCAGGTAGGCTGCAGGGAGGGGGGCATAGGAGGCCAAGGACGGGCAGAATGGGGAAAATGAGCCAGGGACAGGGTGGAACCAGGACGGGTAGAGAGGAGGAGGAAACGAAAGCCTGGCTGCCCGGAGCTGGCAGGGTGGACGTGGACGGTGGAGGTGGGGGTCGGGGGCACTGTGGCTCTGCTGGGGAGGGCTGGGAGTTGACGCGGGTGAGCTTGGGGATGAGAACCTTCCTCCCCAGAGGGCCCCTCTCTGACCACAAGGGTCCTGATTAGATTGGAGGTCACTCTTCCTGCTTTTGCCCAACCTGCCCCTTCCTTGCCAGGGCCTTCACCTGGCTACAGTGGACTCTGTCCAGAGGCCCAGTTCCACTCCTGGGGCAGAGTGGGTTCAGGACTCTTTGCTGAGGGGATGGGGAAGGGGGAGCCTGAGCACAGACCCCAGACAGCAGCTCACAACCTGTCCCTGGTAGCCTCGGCTACTGGGACCCTTAACTCTGTAGGCTGTGACCCGGCTGGGGGAACTGTCACTCAGGGTGGGTGCGGGAGGGACTTGCCTCTAGCACCTCAGATGGCCATGGAGCCGGAGCCTCAGGTGTCAGTTCCCAAGAACTGCTGGGCTTCTAGAAGGCTCAGAGGAGAGCAGAGGCAGCCAGAAGTGACTTCTTGCCCCCGGCATGTGAAAACATGGGGAGGTGGGGATCCTGGCCTGGGGGACAGAGCCTGAGGGATCACTAAATAACCACTGGCCTTGTGGTGGACTTGCCAGGAGGACTGAGGAGTATAGACCAAGGAACAAAAAAGGGGGCGGGGAGGGCCAGGAAGAATCAGGGTAGAAATAAGAACTTCCAGGAGCAGGCACCGGGGCCCAGCCTGCGAAGCTGCCAGGTGGGAGCGTGTGGAGTAAACTCCCCTGCAGGCCCCCCCTGGCAGAAGGGGAGAGTTGGGGTGAGATGACTTGAGCATTCCCTGTTGAGAGTCTGCAGACAGTGTGATAAGGCTCAGGGTGAGGGGACTTGACAATGCATGCCCCTGGGGGTACCCAGTGGTGCCCAGTGGAGGGCAGGGGTGCCTCTGTGGGGTGTGGAGTATAGCCAGGGGCAGAGCTGCCTCTGGAACCAGGTATGGGTGTGCTCTGCTGCCCGGGTTCCTCCCAGACCTACGAAGGAGTCTGTAGCCACAGGCCCCCACGCTGGGGCCGGAGTGGAGAGAAAGGGACCGGGTGCTGGACCTCAGTGGTCTCCGCAGCAGGCACCACAGAACCCAGAATGCCAAAGCTCTCGGCGAGGGCCTAGGTTGTGCTCTCTGCAGGGCTGGGAAGACCCCACGCCCTCCTCAGGCCAGAGCCCATCCTTGGGCCTCAAGTACCCCCAGCCCCTCCAGCGAGGCTAGGAGCCTCAGAGACCTCTAGCGGGGCTCAGGTGGAAGGCTAAGACCTGCCTCTAGGGTAGTCTCGGTATAGGGCACGGGGCTTGCCCACAGGCATCTTTGTGGCAGGCACAGTTTTCACAAGGTTGGCAAAGGCACCCTTCCTAGAAACCAGTGTTCCCTGGGCCTGCTAAATTAGAGGCATTCCGAGAGTTTACATGGCCCCTTTGGAAACGCACAGAGCATCGCTGTGGACAAGAGACCAGCCAGATCCAGTCACTCACATCTCCCCCATACCCATATCCACGGCGGAGCCAAAACTCATCGGTCACACTCAGTGGTCCCTCCCCACGGTGGAGCCGCTGGTAATGACACGGGTAGGAGGCATGGAGAAGAGAACCACAGACATTTCTCCCTGTCACCCTCTCTGTGAGGGCTCCCACTGCACAGCCGAGGCCCCCCAGCACGCCGGGTGGGAGAGCTGAGAGTAACACACAAAACTGAGCGGGACGCGAGGAAAGGCAGCCAAGTGGGAGGCAGGCAGGCCTCGGCAGCCTGCTCCTCCACCCCCAGTTCTACAGGCAGGAAGGGCCGGATCCCAGTCCTGACTCCAGCCCAGCACTCTGGCCACTCCGGCTAGAGGGAGGTACCTGGGGCAGGTGGGAGCCCTGGGCTAGAGTACAGGCCAGGGGCTTCCACCTCTGGGTGATGCCCATAGAAAGGCTGGTGACCAGCAGCCCCTTCCAGCCAGCTGCTTTGGGGTCTGGGGTCATAGTCTGAGACAGAGTTAGGGGCAGCTGGCCACACCTAGGGAGGGGATGCCAGGAAATAACTTCTGCTTTCAATGCTGGACAAATGGCTTTAACTGGCCCTGACTGCCACAGCAGGGCACGGAGACTGTTGGCTCCAAGGGCCTGTCCTCTGCCATGTCCAAGCACCTGGTACAAGGTTCAGGACACGATGGAGGTGGGAGGGGAAAAAAAGCAAATAGAAGTGGACTTAGGCTCACAGGGTGGGGCTACCAGAGGCGGCAGCAAGATGGCCTGACCAGGGAGGGGCTCCCGGAGGCCCAGCCCGGCAGGCATTTGGCACGAGGAAAGGGCTTCTGAATCTTGCAGGCACTGCTGAAATCAACAAGGTTGTTGGTAGGGAGTTCTTCCTGGCTCTGGGGACGTCCAGGGGGCTGCATGTAGAAGCTCAGGGCTTCCGCCTGGCCCAGGACTGAGCGCCCAGGGTGGTGGCCGAGAGAACAGAGGGTTTGAGGAGGGGCCCTCAAAGGGTGGTCCTCTCTCCTCCATGGCATGTCGGGTATCTCGGCATAGGACCATATAAGCACATAGGGCCTGCCTGAGGTGTTGGCTATGGTCAGCCAATGAGAGGCACCCAGGAGTGAGAGAGGTGTGTGGATTGCTCAAGCCAGAACGGGTCGGGGTTGCCATGAGAAGCCATCCCACCCTTTCTGCTCAGGCATCTCCATAGCTAACCCACTCTAAAGGACCATAGGGTTCTCCCCTAGAGTGAGGGTGCTCACCTCCACCTGCGTTCCTTGTGCCAGGGGCTGGGAAGACGTCAGGGCTGTGAAATACCTCCTGATTTTCTCACCAAGACGGAGGGAAGCAGGGGCCTGGCATGCCCTTCCCAGGCCTCTCCAACTATAGAACCCCAGTCCAAAGGCCCCCTGCCCTTCCTGTTGGTTTAGTTGGATTCGCTGTGAAACGAGGCAAGGAACACCCTGTCCACTCACTCCTGGGAGCTCCCAGAGCAGCCCCCCAGCTGGGGACAACTAAAGAGTGGGTGGGACACCCTCCTCACACAGGAGGCTTCCCTTAGCCTCCCCTTGCCCACCACCTCCCACTCTGTCCAGCCCCAGACTGCCGGCCCCTTCCCCAGTCTACCTTTGCAGTCAGTCAGGCTCAGCCTGAGACCCAGGGGGAGAGAGCAGAGAGGCACTCCCCCGGGCCTGGGTCCTGGGACCAGCACCAAGTTGGCCTGGTCACCCCATGGATATTGGCGACGACGGAGCTGCCCTAGACCAGAGACCCCAGGCAAGGCTGAGGGACGGCTGCCGCTGCCTTCCCCATTCCCTCCACCTGGCAGCGTCAGGCAGGGCCTTGCTGCCACTGCACAATCCCAGACCACTTGGAGACCTCAAGTTTGAGTCGCTAAGCACAGGGCGTGCCTACTCTGGGCCAAACAGCGGCCGTCTCGGCCCCTCATGCCCCAGCCCAGATAGAACACTTAGAGATGACGCAGAGGCCAGAAGTCGGCCTGTGGTGACAGGCCCAGTCTGCACTCTTAATGCGTGGTGGCTCCCGCAGCACGGCTCGCGGGCTACCGCATTACCACGTGTTCTGACGCCAGAGGAGGGGGGGCGGGGTGTGGAGGATGCTTCCTCCTCCTCCTCCCCTCCCCCATCTGCCTCCGGGGTCTTCTCCATCAAGTGCAAAGGGTGGTCTGAGAGGTGGTGGAGCCCTGGTTCCAGGGAGGGAAGGGGCAGCGGGCCGGGCAGGGCGGAGGGAAGTGGGCGGCCGGGCAGGGTGGCGGGCTCAGTAGAGTCCACAGCCCCGCAGGTTTTTGGCGATGATGACGTCCGTCACGGCGTCAAACACAAACTGGATGTTGTTGGTGTCCGTGGCACAGGTGACGTGGGTGTAGATCTCCTTGTGGGCTGACTTGTTCTTGCTCTCGTACTGGGCCTGGATGTAGGCCACGGCTTCCGTGAAGGCGCTGGGGCCTGCGGGAGGAAATGGCAGGGCCAAGTCAGGCAGCGGTGCCTGGCCAGCAAGTCTGCAGGTGGGGGCCTCTTAAAGACCACAGAGGAGGAGAAGCCTGACCGGCGGGGAAACCGAGGGCTCTGCTAAATCCTCAGTGGGCCATGGAGTTTAGGCAGGGGTTCGAATCCAGTGTGGGAATCATGAAAGAAACAAAACGCCAGCTCTGCCGGGCATGCCCTGTGGTAGGGTGACTGCTGCTTCAGGAAGCTTGTTTCCGTCTTATGCACGTGCCCGCCGACTCCCGGTGCACACTTATCTCATGTGCAAGAGCTCTGAGAGCGCTGAGCTTAGGCAGGCGGGCCCTCTCCTGCTTGCGAGCCTGCTGTCATCTCCCAGTGTCACTCTCGTGGCCATTGCTGGCCAACTGCGATGTGAGCCTCCTTGGCCTCCTTCCCCCTTGGCCTTTCCCCCCTTCTCCTCCTCACCCTTCCTGCCTCTGGCTTCACTCTGAGGCAGCCTGACAACTGCCTGGCTGGCTTGCTTGCTGTCTTTCTCAGAGTGCACCACACTGATCTGCTTCCCAGGTGGCCCAGGGAGAGTGGAAAGAAGCCGCTGGTTTTGGAGAGAGCACAAGAGCAGAACCCTGGCTTTGCACTGAAGCCTCCATAACCTCCTGAATCTGCACCCAGCATGGCAGAGCCGCTGAGGGTGGGCGGGAGGGGAGCTAGAGTTTGGGGCCACTGCACGAGGCTGGGGTGGTGGCCGTTCAGAAAGCCTGGGAGTGGCACACCTGGAGGTGAGCTTCCGGCCATCTCAGGCACATGCATGCAGGCCTCTGGGTCTGGCATCTAGGATCTCACAGACGTGGCTCATGACCAAGGCTCATGACCTACCCAGGCTGCCTTGAGTGGCAGAATAGGGGCATAAACCCTGGGCTGCCTGGTTCCAAGCCCTGATCATCGCCCCTGCATCATCTCGGTGTTCCCACGTTACAGATAACGCCTGTTTACAGGCTGCTTACAGGCTGAAGTGTGGCTCCGAGAGGTTGCCGAGATCCCACAAATAGTAAGTGGCAGAGTCACGATCCCAGCCCTGCTTTCCCTGATGAGGAGCTCTGCTAGCTGCCCCAGCCCCCACCCTAGAGCACATTCCGGGACGGGGTGGGAGGCCATGGTACTGGATTATCCTGCTGGAATCTGGTGCACCCGCGGAGCACAGCGAAGGTGGACTGGGCCGTGGAAAAGGGGCTGTTCCCTCTGGAACTCCCGTGTCCAGAGGGGGCTGTGCAGCCTCCTGCCGTCCTATGGAGGGGTCTCTACCTGTGTATTCAGGAAAGCAGATGGTTAGCGGGGACTTCTTGATCTTCTCTTCAAATATGTCCTTCTTGTTAAGAAACAGGATGATGGACGTGTCTGTGAACCATTTGTTGTTGCAGATGCTGTCGAAAAGCTTCAGGGATTCGTGCATGCGGTTCTGCAACAGAGTGGAGAGGCCAGTGAGGAGGGGCAGTGCCCAGGGCCCTGACCCACCGCGGCCAGTGACACAGCGGGACAAGCAAAGGGAAGGTTCACCAATGCAGCCGAATGCACCACCAGGGATGGAGATGGGAGGACCCACAAGGACAAACAGGATGTGGTCCCTACTTCATTCCACACGCAGGCAGGGCAGGGTGGAGCAGGCCAGGCCAGGTGGAAGGAAGGCTGCCCCCTCCGAAGAGAGCTGGCCCTGGGTGGGCATAGTGAGTCACTGGAGGAGCTCCAGCTCACGGAGAGGACATGCATCATGCATGTAGAGGGCGGGGCCGCAACCACCATCCAACACGTCTACACGGAACCGCGGGTCATGCAGATTTCTCTACCGGGATCTCATTCAGTTTTGCCAGCGAGGTGGGGAAGGTGCACGCATTCAGTTGGGAAACATTAACCGAGGACTAAGAGAACCTCGAATTAATACAGAGTTGGAAGCAGACACTAGGGGGACAGCGTCTTGGGGGTGATCTTGCTGTGGCCTTGGTGCGGTTGGGTGATTTGGTTGGTCGCCTAAGCCATGGCTGGGGTGGGGAGAGGCTCTGAGAGAACTGGTTGTTGGGGCTGGTTTCTCAGTAGTGGAGCCAGAAGAACCCCAAGATGAAACACAGCAAAATAGATCCAAACAGGCAGGAAGATAAAAACCCAGTGACACATGTGAGAAAAAGAGGAAAAAATCCCTGAAAAATTGGTCTGAAGTCTTGAGGCCAGGAAGTCCAGGCCAGTCCAGGCCGAGGCCCCTGTGCAGGCCCGTGGAGGCCAGGATGCCCTGGGATGTGGTGGCTGGGGAAGAATGTGGCGACGGACGGACCGGGGCAGGCATTCACAGCAAAGTCACCCAGTGGAGCCCTGAGAACCTGCTGCTTTCAACTCTTAGCCGATGGTTTCGATTGGAGGGGAGTGCTTCATACCTGCTGGGCTTGGAGGGTCTCTCAGAATCTGCTCATGTTTTGGCCTTGGTTTGGCAAGATAAGGCCCTGCAGGCGGTGGTGGCAGTGGTGGTGAAGTTGTGGTGGCCTGAGGCCCATCCGGGCGGTGTTGAGAGCAGGTACGAGGACAGGATGAGGCCCCTCAGGGACCCAGGGTGCGATGGATAGTGTGGCCGGTCCAGTGGGGCAGCTGCTAGCCCCAGGGCCCCCGGGTCTAGTCCAGGAGCTGGCTGCAGATACCTCTGTCTCGGGTAGCCCCATCTTTCACTCCAGGCCAAGGAGGGACGCGTTGGGCAAACCAGAAAGGAAGGTCGAGGACTGAGGGCTAGGTTGCCAGGACCTAGCTCTGCCTCTCTGAGGCCGAGCATCCATATTCTAGAACCCATCCTCTAGCCATGGCGTCTCCCCTGAGGAGCAGCAACTGCCGTTTGTTGAGTGATGATTCACACATGCAGACGCTCTTATGGCTCTCAGCCCGGTGGTCCCACAGCCACTCGCGAGGTGGAGTGATTGCCCACCATCAACAGCTGGTGGGGCGGCACTAGACCCTGGGCCAGACCAGTCTGACTCCCAAGCTGCTCAGCCCTGCGCGTCCCCTGGGCACGCCGGCGATCAGCCCTACAGCACAGTGCTGTTCCTGCTGCCACTGTGATGGTGAGCACCCTACGTGGGCTGCCGTTGGTGTGGCACCTTCCCTGTGCCCTGGGGAGCTCTGCTTTTCCCTGGGCTGCGGAGGAGGCCAGTTCTGGGGAGAGGAGGGGCCCAGGAAGAGTCTGGTTTTGACCTTGGCCCCACCTGCTTTTGCTTCCCCAGCATCCTCTGCTCTAGCCCTTGTGAAGAAGGGCAGGGGGAAGCGGGGAAGAAGGGAGGGCAGGGGTATGAGAGAATAATAGAAAGATGGCAGAGGAAACTAGGGGGGTGGTGTGCCCCAGGACATGGGCCTGCTCAGCAGCAAGGGCTGGTAGGGAGGCCACAGGGGCACTGGAGTACCCAGGGCCACGGAGCTTGATGCCTGTGGCTGCCAAGCCCCCCGAGATGTCCCTTTGCTTCTGTACCAGGCTCTGGAGGCAGGTCAAAGCCTCAGTCCCATGGCTGAGGGGCCTGGGACTTGGGTTTAGGCCATCGGCAGGCCTGGAGGGCAGGACCAGAGGAGAGGCTGCATTCCATCCCTCTCATCACACCCACACCCCCAGCCTCAGTGCCTTTGCTCTCTGTGAAATCCAGGAGCTGTGGGGAGAAAAGATGCGCTGAGTGAAGCTCAGACTCCAGGGGGAGCAAGGGGACTGTGACAGTGGCACTGAAGGCATGGAGTCAACCAAGAAAGCAGTGAGGGTGCTGGGGCAGTCCCTGTGCAGTTGCGTTTCCAGGAGGCCGTCCTGGGCTGGGGGTGGTCACCGAGTCTGGGTGGGCATCTACCCCTGCCCCACCCTCAGGGTCAAGGACCAGGTTGGTGACTTTCAAACCGCACTGCCTGCTGTGGAACAGCAGCTGAAGCCTGACCCGGGGTGCAGCTGGGCCTGAAAGAGGAAGAGCAAGGCGGGCGAACTGGCACACGGGTCCCCTCCCCCCCCCCGCC